GGAGACTTCATCTATAGGTGTTCTTGCAGGGGTGTTCTTGCAGGGGCGTACATGTGGGAGACTTCATCTATAGGTGTTCTTGTTGGGGTGTTCTTGCGGGAGACTTCATGTGTAGGTGTTCTTGCAGGGGCGCTCTTGCGGTAGACTTCATGTATAGGTGTCGAAGCAAGAGTGTTCATACAAGACATTTCATGCTGCCTGGACAAAATGGCCAGTGACAGAAAGTTAAGCTACCATGGAGTGTCGGTGCCATGCTTGCCCTCTTCCATAAGGTCTTGTGAGGGGATCAATATTCCCATGATCCTCAGTGCAGCAGACAAGTGTTGTGGGACTTCTGTTTGAGACAAGACCAGACATCCACAGTCGGGAGATAGCATGGGCCTGCTGGGAAGAGAAAGCACATCTCAACTGTCATTTCTGAGACGATTAATTCCATTCCACCAAAATATATCATTTCATAGAATGGGAATATTCTCTATGGATGAATTCGTCTCTTTTACCTGAACATCAAGCTTCATATAAAACTTCGATAAAGAGAGTTTTATTTCTAGATCTAGAGTTCGTCAAAAGAATTGGTAGTGGCTGAATCAATTATTATTTTTATTTTTATGCTTTGAGAAAAGGAACAGTGTGCCATGTTTGCTGCCCAGTTATCCGTTGTGACTAGAAGTAGAAGTTGTTGTGATTCCATGCTTTTGAGACCATCTTTGTGGTCTAGGGTAGGGCATCTGTAAAACAAGGACTGGTCAGCGTGGAGGCAGTATACTGTGTCTGAGTGGGGTATTCATGTTAAACTGTGGCATGGTATCTCAGTGGGCTAGCACTATAAAATCGGCATTAGTTCGGACTAGTAAAAGCAGAGAAACACACACACACGTGCATGCATGTTGCTATTTAAGTGCAATAATCTTGGACGTGACATTAAAACCCAACTCACCTCAACTCAACTCAACTCAACTCAACTCAACTCAACTCAACTCAACTCGCCACACCTCACCACACCACACCACACCACACCACACCACACTACACTACCTTGCTTTTGGCTGTGAGGCCATTTCCAGGTCCACTTTGTGGGAGGATGACTTAGTTGATTCAGGTATGGGATCTTTCAATGGGGGTGCATCTTGATCATTTTGTCAAGCAGCTATAGCTAGCTTTGAAAATAGATTGTGTTATTGGAAGTAATGGACCTAAGAAATTGTGTACTTAGTTGATTCAGGTATGAAATCTTTCAATGGGGGTGCATCTTGATCATTTTGTCAAGCAGCTATAGCTAGCTTTGAAAATAGATTGTGTTATTGGAAGTAATGGACCTAAGAAATTGTGTACTTAGTTGATTCAGGTATGGGATCTTTCAATGGGGGTGCATCTTGGTCCGTAAAGTGTCCATCTCCTGCCGAGATATTTCTACAAATAGCCAGTTCCTGAAACTGTCCTAACGTGTTCAGTTCAGCAAGCCATGAAACTGGGGAGTCAGAATCTGTCCCGGCAACCCGTGCTGGTCGTAAGAAGTGATAGTGGATCGGATGGTCAGTGAGTTGGTGGATTGCGTGTCATCTTATCCTACCCTAACAGTGGGGTTTGTGTTATACTGTATCAGTCACTGCATCAGTCACTGCATCAGTCACTGCATCATCTAGCTTCAAGGAGGTCGAGTGCAGCACCGAGCAATTAACAAAGCAAACAAGGGCGTACAGCTACAGACAGACCAGGTGACAATCAATCCTTGATTTCAGTCACACAAAAACAATAGCTGGTATTCAGGATTATGACCCTGACTGGAACCACACATGCCGGAGGTAGTCTTCCTCAGTCTCATTATTGTGTGCTATTGATTGCTTACATTCCGATATTGATGAGGTGAAAGACAAGATTGGATTAGCTTTGGAGTTCAAACAGCTCTCCCGGTTTGGAAGAATAGATCAGAATAGCGAATGTGAAAGATGATCCTGGACATGTGAACATCAGTCGGCCTCAACAGATAAAAACTACACACACCATGGTCAAAAACAGAAATCTGGATCAAAATCGACCAGGAACTCATGTGAAATGACTGATGCACTTCTGGCAAAGATCACAAGAACTGGAACAGAAATAGATACATAATCTTAATCGCTGGGTAAAATGGATAGGGATAAGTTTTGACTCGACAGCCATCATTCCAGATGGGGAGAGATCATTCCATTGATCTCGTCAGCAGAAGAGAAACACTGTTTTTATACCAGGACAATATCTGTTGGAGGATATGAAGGTGTTTTATGTTAGGTTTCCGTGAGGGAAGTTTCCGACAGAATTGACTTTATCCACCGAATTGTCGGTCGTTAATCTTTGTCGATCTTCGTCTTCCTGCTAACGTGCGGTGGTTTCGATGAACACAATGGATGAAGTGATCAGGGAGTGTGGCTTTCTTCACAAGCTCTGTCATGCAACATGAAAGAATTGGGGCTTGCTTGTCTTAAGTGCATGTGATCCAGAGGAGGAGTCTTTTTGTAAGCCAATGTCAAAAAACATTATCGAAACAACTTAACATGTCAGCATGCGCTGAAAAATTATTGCAAAGACTTTTAAGAATTTTAAGTGATTAAGGGTTCTTAACCATGGAGACACAGAGCCTAATATGTAATTTGGTTCCTGTCAAATGGTGGAAATGCAAGTTTTACTCTGATGTGTTTATAAACATTGGAGTGGTTATTGTTCAAGGCCCCATGGAGGTCCAAATTCCGTGAAGCAATCGTAGCGCTACAACTGTCGTAAGACTATGTGAAAGTATGAGAGTTACAATCACCTTAGTGCTACGATCACCTTGTGGGACAGGGCCCTGGAGCAGATTGGATTAGTTACATGCAGTTTCCTGAAGCTGGAATATAGCTTACTGTGGCATTAAACAAACAATACAAAACATATGCCTATGTATTTTCAAATGTCTCCATGAATTTACCAGGAGGCACTGTATCAATACTTTATTACAGTGAGGATCTTTTTCAAAAATCAATCTCTGACAGTTTGGGACCAATGAAGTACATAGAATAGGACCATGCATGGCTGCCAATTAGAAGTAATTATAGCTTTGCTATCTGTGTCGGTTGTTGTCAGTAGGTACCAGTCTTGGCAGGCCATCACTTCAAATACTTCATGCCTCGTCTTGGCCAAGCTTTTTTCATTTCAGATGTCAGATCACAAGTGCTATTTAGCAATTTGGAAGAATGACATGGTAGTAATTATCTGTATTTCATCTCTGAAAAACGAAGTATATTTCCCCGTTTGATGGTGAAATTGACTAGGTAATGTCATGCTACATTAGCCATAACGACATGATATAATTAGTTGTTGTGATTGAGTCGATGTAAGTCCGTTGTTAGATGAGATTAGATGTCATCACTAGACTGGTGGCTTTAGGGGTCTTGATGATCCATGTCAACATGGAGAGTCGGGGATGTCTGAAGAAATACATGAGTTGATATACTTCTGTGTATGCTGGATCAGTCGTACTGAGAAATGTTTTTTGTTTACTGATACATCGATTTCTGATAAAGATCAGATCTGACAAAATATATTCTGATAATTTATGGAATGCATTTAGATTTTGTGTGCAAATGGCCATAGTAACAGTATTGACAAATTTGGACAACAGATGTTGTGATGCCCTTGGACATATTTCCCAGAAACCTGTGATCTTGACTTGGAATCCCACCTCACCCTGATAATGATTCTAGGTTTGTCAGCATCAATATTTGTGTTTGACCAGTGTTTTTATAGAATTACTTGGAAGTATGTTGACTTGAAGTTTCCAATCTGATCGAAATGTATCTGTATTACATGGTCTAGAGAGTTTAGCCTCGTCATTTAATTCCCCATATGGATACAATGTGTGAAGCCCTTTTCGGGTGCCCCTGTTGTCATTATATTTAGGAATATTACTAAATACAGCCCCAAAACATACTCACTCACTCCTTAAGATGTTCTTTTTCGGATTGTATTGATGGAATTTTCCTGAATGTATTTGATGTGTATCGGGATATACTTCTTACAACTAACTGTTACCCCAGTTTGGACTAGACCATAAATAGCATCTCTGTGAAGGATGCTCTGTCAACGCACAACGTTCAATTATCCACAAAGTCGGAGTGTACACATTATTAATTTCAGCAGTCAATCACTGAATATTTATCTGACATGGGAGTTTGATTGGTCAATTGACTCAGTGCTTTCTGAAAGCATTTTGTTTGAGCAAGGAGTAAAGAGTATGGTGGACAATACGTTAAATAGGGAGCCATATTTGTCGTTTTGATGTGTTTCGGACAGATATGTTTATAAAGCAAACTTTTTCTGCATTTAGAAAGATATAGATAGCAGAACTTTGACATATTTATTGTGAGCAAGATAGCTGACGTCAATCAACGATGATCAGTCAATTTGTTTGGGAGAATGTGTGTGACGTACCTCTGACTTCAAATGGATCGTGAATTAGAACCAAACTTTGTTATCGGCTTATGCAGGTTCATTTTAACTGATCTTATGGTCATAGTTCCCAAAAAAATCATTTTTAAATGCAGTTGAAAGGAAGTAAAATGGGTTTTAACGTCACTTTCTAGATTTTTGCACTTATATAGCGACGTGCATGCATCTCAGTATTAAGGGTTGATGTTTGCGTGTCACTGCAGCAAACTGGCAAGGATCATTGCTTACAATTTCAGTCACTGATCGGGGATGGCGGGGTAGCCCAGTGGTAAAGCGTCCGCTCCTTATGCCGAGGGCCTGGGCCTCAATAAATATGACTGTCAGGACAAACAAGCCCAGATTCAGGACAAGCAAGCAGTTCTGTATATTACACTGCAGCCATGTGCACCATGTGGTTCTCAGTGTACTTACACCACGCAAGAAACCGATTGTGCATCATGACGTGAAATGTGAGAAGCGGTTGTTCTGATACATGTACCTTGTATTTATTGGACCAGCCCCAGCCATGTTGTTAAATGTGATGTAACTGATTGTTTCAGGGTCTCTACTGAGTCACTTTGTGGAGCCCATCTACATCGACAGCATCGTCCTGGGCAGCCTGTACCACGGTGACCACCTCTCCCGCGCTGTCTACGCTCGCATCAACAACATCGAGAACATTTACATGCCTTTCATGCTCAATAGGCCTTTCCTCAGTGGCATATCCAACCCGGAATCACGGCAGCCAGGGAAGGCACCCAACTTCAGCGTCAACTGGTGCAACGGCGACGACGGCTTGGAGGTGATCAACGCCACCACAGGGAAGACCGAACAAGGTCCCATGTCTCGTGTGTGCAAGCAGTCATTGTTTCAGCATTTTAACAAACTCTTCGGCCAGGTGTCCTCCGTGACGAGTCAGACCATCACAAAACGTCCAAAGTTGTATTCCGAGGCCAAGGCTGCCGTTATGGACTATCAACTGGCTAAGCAGCAGCTATTCAAAGCATTCCAGAAAAGCGGGCTTGGAAGCTGGGTGACGAAACCCATTGAGCTTGACCAGTTTGAGGTTATTTCAAGTTGAGTTGTCTCCCTTCATTAACATGATTATCTCCCTTCCTGGTGAGATGCATCCCACTGTTTAAGCTCAAACATGATGATTGTACTGAAAGAAATGATTAGTTTTGAATTAAATTTAGAACTATATTTGAGACTTGAGATATGTGTTCATGTAATTGTGAGAGTAAAACTTAGTTTTCTTTCTTCTCTTTCTAACTACCTTGTCTGTATGAATATAAGATGTTTCTTTGTAAATGCTAGTACCATGGAGGGCCACGCAGTACATGGTGCAGTGAAATGGTAACAGTGTGTATTTTTATAGTGGCATGAAAGTTGAAAAGGGTTGTTTAGAAAGTAGTTAGATAAGGGACATGTTTGCTCAGGTTGTCAAGTTTTAAACCTATCCAGGCTTGTGTTGGTATTTTTAGATAATTGGTTATTTTTCTGCCACTATGCCTAGCATCCACTTCACACTGAACTTAAATTGGGATTTCCTGTTCTCATTTCTTTTACTTTTAGCCATTGTACTTTGTGATTTTATCCCGCTGCCCCTGCAGCGAATGTTTTGTTGCAACAATTACTTGTTTCTTTTATTCATCTGTGTTCTTATACTTTTTCATTTTGTTTCATCTGTTAATTTGTTACAAATTTTGACGTGATTAAAAAGGTAAATGTTTAAATTATAAAATCATGATGTGAAAGGAAGTATTTTGTATAAATATATGTAAACATGACCACTTTCATTCGATATGTACAATAGTTTTTAATCATTTGTGCGCAAATGTTTTAGAACGGGACATATCAAAGATTTGTGCAGTATTTCCAAACCAAATATTTTGAAGATCAGAAAAGTGTTAAGAGAAATCATATTTGGGGGCTTGTCTCAAAATCTTGGGCTGATTTCTAGATATGTAAAATCAGAGATATTGTAATTGCTATAGTAAGTGGATGTCCAAGTGAAATTATGGCTAGAGTTATTGCTATTGGTTCAGATAGTAAGTGGATGTCCAAGTGAAATTATGGCTAGAGTTATTGCTATTGGTTCAGATAGTAAGTGGATGTCCGAGTGAAATTTTGAGTAGAGTTATTGCTATTGGTTCAGATAGTAAGTGGATGTCCGAGTGAAATTATGAGTAGAGTTATTGCTGTTGGTTCAGATAGCATGCTGAAAGAGTGAAATTATAGGCAGAGTTTATGTTGAGCTCCCTACAGCTATAGGTAACTTCTCTAACATTGTTTCTGGAGTGTCAAGCTGTTGTCATGACGAGCACTCTGATAGTCTTTGATATGTCCCATCTGCCATTGCGATCGATGTTTTTCTCAAGTTTAGAAACATTAGGTTTAGAAGTCTAATCTGGAGAATGTCACTTGTCACAATTTATGGAAAATGTCATTTTTTAATATTAAAAAACAAATTGACTTTTTGTCTTATCTACTGGTAGTGAATGCACACCTTTCTTTACTTGCAAACCCTGACAAGTCTCAGTGATGGCCCAAGTAGCATTTAGTTTTTGAAAATTGCCAAAAGCTAGTGGAACTAGTTGAAGTCATGTGACAGAGAAGTAGTGACAGGACTCTAAGGAACAACCTCGCAGTGTGGGTCTGTTGGTTCCGACTCTTGGCTGAACACTCAGCATTACTCAGTAATTGCTCACACAGTTTACATTTGTTTGTTTTTTTCCAAGTTGGTGTGTTTACTTTGTGTAGTTTGGAGTACTGGACACATACCCGACAGGTGACTTTTGTAGCGATCCTGAAGTTTGTCCCGATATCTGTCAGAAGCAGGAACCTTGTGTGTGTACAGTAACAAACCTTATCACTTTTCCCCAATGCAAACATCCTCTTGCAGAGTTGTCTCCCCCATCCCTGCCAGGATCCACTTAGGTTAACCCTCTTGGCACCAAAGTGGTAATATGACCTGTGTGGGGCTTCCCTCCTTGAGTGAGCGAGTGAGCAATCCACTGCATAAGTGATGGAACACTGTCGACAGCTCAATGAAACACTGTTGGAGTTGCACCTAGTGATGCACCACGACTGTGGAATATATATATTTTATGAAACCAAAACTAGACTTGTTTAGGCACTATTCCACTTCAGGGGGAAAAAATAACTTTTAAGAAATTTATTGTGTAATAACAAATTTCTTAAGACTAAGTTCCATGAAACCCAAACCTGTTTAACACATTAACTTTGATGCAACCAGCTGTAATATATATCTCGATACTCATAGTAAGTATTAAATTCATCACAAGTGGTTATAATAAATGGTTGAACTGTTTCTAACGTAAATGATCTTGTTCAATTCTGATGCATGGCCAGAGTTCAAACTCCAGGTCGATTTGATTCATCATCTTTGAATTTTATTTTGTATTCAAGTAACTGTCAAGTGACCTCCTATCTTAAACAGAAGCTGTTCAGTAACAAAATCAAAATCCTTATGTATCCATCTTTGATGTGACATTAAATTTGAACTCGCTCACCCCTTATGTACCCACTTTAATACTTTTTCGGGAGGTGCAAGGTCGGCTTGTCCGATGTTGCTGGTATATATATTTAACATGTGTAACTTGTCAATGAGAGCTATGTACAGGGCATCAGGACTTCTCTAATGGCGTCTGAAGCCAGAAGGAACCAGCAAAGGTGTTGGCACTTTGGTCCATGTTCATCCTCGTCTTCAGGTCATGGCAGTTGGTTTCACCAGCATCAGTTTTTAATGAATTCTTAATGCTGTGTTTACTTAACTGAGAAAGAAATAGTTTTCACATTTGAAAAATAAATCTGTAATTCTGTAATCATGAAGATATTCTTTGTGTCTGTTCCAAGGGACCGGTCATTTTTTTTACAGGGGGTGATGCACTAATGTACCTCAAATACTACCCTCCCTGAAGACAAAATGCAAGCACTTTACATTTTATTATTCAACGTCCATTTTCTTCAGAAACCTCCCCAAATATGTGTATTGTTTTATAACCATCCCCTAGAGACTGTCATGTGTTTTGGTGACCCTCCCCTATACTAAATGACCGGTCCCTAAATGAAGGTCTAAGATGTCTAAGATGTCCAATATGTAATATCAACTCATAACATACTTTCTCCTTTGATGCCATGTCACTAGATCATATCATACCCTCAAATATTCCTGTTGATCACCAACATTTGTTAACTTGAAGCTTCATACAAATAAACTCCTTGCAGTTCTATATTGTTGTCTTTGATGGTTAGACTAGTCTCTGAAATGAACATATTTTACAACAACAAAAAAAAGTTGTTAAAGTATAGTCATGAGCCAAGAGACTTTCTTCATTTTCAGCTACTGATACTGCAGTAATCTAGACTTGTAGGGCTTTATTGGATATATTTGTTTCAGGGTCTGTTTCGATGGCTGAAACTGGACATATCAGCTCGGAGTCAGTATACTATGTCTGAGTGGGGGATTCATGTTAAACTGTGACATGGTATCTCAGTGGGCTAGCACTATAAAATTGGCATCGGTCTGGACCAGTTGACTGACTGACTGACACACACACTGAGACACACACACACACACACACACACACACACACACACACACACACACACACACACACACACACACACACACACTGAGACACACACACACACACTGAGACACACACACACACTGAGACACACACTGAGACACACACTGAGACACACACTGAGACACACACACACACACACACACACACACACAGCTATATAAGTGCAATAATCCTGAGAGATAACTCTTTTGTTTTTAAATATTATTTGATCCTGTAAATAATCGTGGGCCAGCCAATCCAGGTATTGTGATCAAACAACCATTCCTTCAGGATATGTTGTTAGTCGTTTAATGCCACACTAAGCAATACATCTATCTTCCATCAAGTATTGGTTGCTGGGGATCTGTAATCTTGCCCGGGATCCCCATGGGGCCTTCCCGGGTATGATGACATGCAATCAAGCATGTCACACGATCCAGGAAGTTGTCTCATGGGACCAGCATATGTTGCTGGGGACCTATTCCAACCTGGCATCCCCATGGGGTTTTACCAGTAACACTCCCGTCATATGTTAAATGTCTTATTCACCAGATGAAGGAGTAGGTATATACTCCGAAACGTTCCTCAAAATAAAGAAGTTGACATCCATGAATTCTCCTCCAGACAGTACTCACTGTGAGGATCTCAAGGAACACCATCTTGACTACACTATTAAAGCTATGTGAGTGACAGCAATGTTTTCAGGCTTGTTAAGTAAGGGTTTAGCCAAGTCACAGCACGGTACACAAGGTTTCACACATTCTACACGACCTGTAAACATCCAGGGTCTTCAGCAACGCATGCTTGTCCTAGGAGGCGAATAATGGGATCCGGCTCGCTGACTTGGTTGATGCATGTTATTGTATCCCAATTGCGTGGATCGCTGCTCTTGATATGTCAATCACTGGATTGTCTGGTCCATACTTGATTATTTACAGAGCGCTGTCATATAGCTGGAATTTTTCTGAGTGCTGCGTTAAACAACAAACAAACAAAAGACATCCTACCCCACGAGTACTGGAGTTTTGAAAGTTAGACAGATGGCATTGATACAGACAGGTCAGGAACCACACAGGACAACATGGGTAATGGGGTAACCACGTGTTCCCTTGTCATGCTCAAGTCCCAGGTTTGATTCCCCACATGGGTATGAAGTGTGAAGCCCACTGGTGTTCCTGCTGGCATATTGCTAAGAGTGGTGAAATCCATGCTCAGTCTATCACATTACATGAAAATCAACAAGTTGTTTAAACAGATGTGAACTTGATTTTAGTACACCTAGCCTGAGGTCGCCCATCATCGTCCGTAAACTTTTTACATTTTCCGACTTCTCTCAAATGGTGTGATAGATTCAGCTGAATTTTGTGTGGATATTTGTTCAAGGCATCAATATTTGAATTTCAATATGGCCACCAGGAAACCTTGGATTTAAAAACAAATTCAAAATCTTCTCCAAAACTTGAAGGGCCAGAAGATTAAAAGTTGATGATCTGCATGTATTCACTCCATAGTGATCTGCATGTGGTCGCTCCAGGTTATCTGGGTATTAGCTGCTTCGAACAGTATTTCAGTTATAGCTAAGTGACCGTGATCAAGGTTAATAATATGGACAAATCAGTGATTCAAACACTAGATCATTGGATCTTTGCACACCTAAGGGCAGAACTCTGCACAGCAAAATGCAACATCTTTGGAAATCACATTTACAACAAAATGGAAGAAACAACAAGAAAATAAATGGAAAGATTAAATTTACAGGACAGTAGTTATTCTACACAATATACACAGAACCTGCTAGAGAAGCATCATAAACAACAGTGTGGGCAAAATACATCGTATCACGTGTTGAGGACAAGACACAGCACAGTGGCAGGTAGAGCAACAGTCTTCATTTTCTCAGTCACCCAACTCCATTTGCTGACGGAATAAGAACAATCTTAATAACTTATCACATCTTCAAACACTCTACTAAGTAAATCTTGCCCTATTTTGTAAGTGCTTGTCCCTCAACAAATGTTGATCTCAAGGTTCATCTACCTAGTGTGGCTGATTGACCTCAGTGGACACTTGCAAGGTCACAGCTTCTAAACAAACTTGCAGCATCCTTAAAACCAAGCAAATCATCATTTACAACAAGCAGACATCACTGAAGGTGACAGATTAATGGTGGCAAATTGTGGTTAAAGACTCATTCAGTTTCATGACAAAGGTCTTAATAGCTAGCTTGATCTGTTTATGGCTCACCAATGCAAGGCAACAGTATCCTAGTTTAGACATGGACTGGGTACAGGCACCAGACCAAAAACACCAGTACACAGACAGGATCCTCGTTTAGACAAACAGACAGGATCCAAGTTTAGACACAGACTGGAGACCAAAAGCACCAGTTTACCGTTACCATGACTATGTTCCTCAGTCTGACGTCCACTTCCATTCTCGGTCTACGCCAAGAAATTAGTGTTCAATGTGAAACTGAAACATTGTTTCTGTGAAGTAATCATTAAGTGCTAGATCAAACGACATCATAAATGTTGACTTAGCAGACAAAATTGTGATTGAATGACTTGAATCAAGCTAGCGATGAATGAGCCCAGTTGATATATACTACTCAACATTTATTAAGGACAAGGTTTGTTTTGTTTGTTGTTCAACGCCGCACTCAGCAATATTCCAGCTATAAGAGAGCGGTCTTTTAATAATCGAGTCTGGACCAGATGACAAGCATCAACCAAGTCAGCGAGCCTGACCATCCGATCCCGTTAGTCGCCTCTTACGACAAGCATAGTCACCTTTTACAGCAAGCATGGGTTGCTGAAGACCTATTCTACCCTGGATCTTCACGGGTCTTTAAGGACCAGAAGTGTCATCTTGGCGAAACTGCATTATCGGTGGTTCAAGAAGGGAGCTAACTCTGCATGCCTAATTGAAAGTTTGAGGTGGGCCCACATTCGA